ATTTGTTATTATATTTAATAATATAAGTATCAAATTTTTTATAAAATAAATATTAATTAATTTATATTTAATTTTAAAAATATAAAATAATTTATAATTATATTTATAATTATTATATTTAATAATCTAAATATAAAATTTTTTATAAAATAAATATTAATTAATTTATATTTAAATAAATAACGTTGGTATATTTTTTATATTTTTTTTTATTGTATTTTATGTGCGTAACCGAATAAGGTTGCATAAATATCTTGTTTCAAAGTTTCAATATAAAAGAAAAAAAAATGAATAAAATTCTACGAGTTAAGTTAACCTCACTTTTACATTTTTCACGTTTGCCATCCTTTTGATAATCGTGAAATTTTGAAGAACCCTCCACCCCGTGCAAAAAGGTGCAAAGTTAAGATTTTCATTCGTTTATATCCCTTAAAAAAAAAATATATATATATATATATATATTGGTATAAAGAATAATCACGTCGTTTGAAAACGATTTTTCACAGTCGAATTCAGGGCACAATTCTAGCTCATTATTCTACACGATAAACTCGACGATGTTCACGTTTAACGAGGGTTGTGTGACGAACTAACGACAAATACATATACATACACACACATACACACAAACCTCTTTTTCTCACCCTTATTTTCTGTGCAAACATCATTTCGTAATCTTTCGTCTCATAAAAGTTCGAGAGCAACGTTAGTATTGAATGTCGAAGATAATGTTACACGTAAGAAACTAAATTTTCTACCCTTCATGCATTCCTCCCCAATCGTCATTCGTTCTTATCAACAATATTTTTCCATTCCCCCCCTTTTTTTTTGCTTGAAAATTATTTTCTTTTTTTCTACAATATTTACAATTTTATTAAAATATTTCTCTTTCAACAAGTATTTTTCAATTTTTATGATATTTGACTTAGAATTATTTTTTTTATATTTATATTTAAGTGAGATTTATAATTCAACTATTTATTAACAATAAAAAATAATGCTAGGAGTATTAACGATTAAAAATTGACAAGGATTAAACGTAGTTGCGATGAACATAACTTTTACTGATGATCTATTAGATCTGCAAAAAATAATTTAAAAAAATAATTTGTTTAAAAATTAAATAAAAAAATAAAATGTAATTTGATATATTTGATCAAAACCGAAAAATAAATATCAAATATAAAACCAAGGAAGATAAAATATATATAGCATATATCAGAAAATAAAATCAGAAAAGGAAAAAACAGTAAAGAAGTAAAATAAAATAAAATAATAAATAAAAGGAAGAAAGGAAAAAAGGAAGGAAAGAAGGAAGGATAAAAAATATGAAATAAGGGGATCTTATTTTTCAGGAAATAATTCTTATCCAGTCAAAGACTTAGGTTAGTCCACGTATTCGTATCTTGGATTTGAGGTTAAGCCTGCAGTGGTTCAGGGAGGTCACGTGATTGAACAAACCGAAAAGGTGGATATCTTCATTCTCTGGGATTTTCACGGTCAAATATTGAAGGATCTACCCAATGGGGAGATTTAGGTTTTACCACTCAATAGATTTTGGGTTAACCATTGTCCAATCTTAGTGGTTTTGTCATCTCATCTTCTCTCCCTCTATCTATTCGTCCGTCTGTCTATCCATCTGTCTGTCCTTTTCACTTTCTCTTTCATTGGTTCACAAACCACTAAAGCTTTTAAGCTTGGTATTACTCTGATACGCTTTGTTCTTCTGATTACGAAACAATTGTGAATAGCCTACGTATTTCGATTATATTACCATTATCGTAATACCATTCTATTGTAATATTTGATTGAGAACAATTAGGTTATATTTCATTAATTTTTAAATTTTCTTTCTTTTATTAAGAAAAGTACTTTTACTTTCTAAATTCTTATTATATTTAAAATAGTTGTAAATAACTATTTTATATATAATAAATTTATAATATATAATATATAGTATAATATATAATAAATTATATTTATATTTATATAATTAATATATATTTAAAATATATTAATTTTAATTATTAATATATTATTATAATTATAATAAAATATATATAATTGTATATTTTACCATATATAATATATTCTATATTTATATTATTAACAATTATATATTTTATTAATTTATAAAAATATTACCATTATAAAAATAAACTTATAAAAATATAAGTTAATAATAATAACTAACCCTAATTGTGAAGATTTATTTAATTCAAATTGAAAAAAATTATATTTATTGTAATTTTTTTTTAATAAACTAATTCTTCTTCCATTATTTTGTTCTGGTTAAAGTAATTATCGACAAAATGTCAACATTTTATTATCAAATTAAAAAAATAAAAATTTAAAAGGTTATTTGAAATATTTATGCTGCTCGTTAGTTAAATTAAAAATAATATATTTTAAACTACGAGAAAATGAAACCTCAATCAACATGACAAAATTTGGAATATATTATTATTTATTTATTTATTTATTATTCCTATTTATTTTTCATGTAAATTAAAAGGTAAATAATAATTGAATTTTCTTAATACGCGAACTCGTAAAATTCTAATTTAATTACAAACGACGTAGGAAGAAATTTGCATGACGATCATTTAGTTTACGTATTTCACTTTAGTTAGTTTCTTTATAATTAATTGAACCTACTACATAAATATATATATTTGTACGACTAATTTCAAAGAGAATAAAAAATGCATTCAACAACTCGTTAAAGTTGAATAAAATAAAAAATTAATTAATAATTGTAACATTTAAAAATACTAACGTGAGATATTCGAAATTTATTAAAAAAAAAAACAGAAGAATAAAAAAACAATGAAATATACTTCAATTCAAAATGTACTAAAAAAATCGAAAAAATAAAATAAATATTATATAAAAAAAATGAAAAAATAAATCATAAACAATTACACGATTTACGTTAAATGCAACGTAACATAGAATTTGGTTAGGCGACCTAATTCGTCTAAACTTTCAGAAATGTGTAATGCGATTCTCTATATTCTAGGGATAAGCTTGAATTTTGTTAACAGTATTCGACACATCTCATAAACACACATAGATATTTACATATACATATAAATATGTGTTGAAGTAAGAGCAATATCCAACGAAAGTATCCTAGAAGCTAACAGAGAAACTAGTTGGGCTTTGAAACGACAATCTCGTTCCTACCATCGATGTCGTACAAACTTTTAATATTCATAGAACTTTGAGATACTGTAATGTCCATATTTACTATATAGCATCATATTACATACATACATACATACATATAAACTACATATACATATATATCTATTAACGGGGGAAAATTTGCTATAGAACGGAATGATTCTTTATGAGAGTATCATTTCAAACAAATAAGAAATTTTTAAAGTTTATTCTCATTTTCTTTTTTATGATAACGAATATGTATAATACTTTAATTATTATATATAATTATAATAATAATATAATATTTAATTTTAATTATAATAATATTATAATATACATATAATATATTATTATTATAATTATAATAAATTATATAATAATAATAATAATAATAATAATAATAATAATAATATATTTAATATTTAATTATTATATATATTATAATTATGTAGAATTTTATGTGTTATATATAATTTTTTAATTTTTTAATTTTTTAAATTGAACTTTTTCTCATTTTTTTTATAATAACGAATATATATATATATATATATATATATATATATATATATATATATATATATATATATGTATATAATACATTTTAATCAGAAATTATTTGTTAACATTGAAACAGTTTAATTTCTTTTTATGTTAATTTGAACAATACTTTTTTATTTTAAGAAAATATATTAATAGAAAATTAATTATTTAGTTATTTAAAAGTGTTAATATATGTTATGTAAAAAATAATATAAATAATTAAAATTAAAAATAATTATAAATAATTAATGAAATATTGCTGAAATATTAAAACGAATAATATTCTTACATATCCATACGTTGAATTCGATATGTGTACAATAGGAAGGTCTAATTGTAACTGAGTGTCTCTCTTTTGTTTACATCTCGGATTACAATAGGAAATGTTATAATAAAATGGGGATAAACATAGTTTGTTCTTAAAAAGTTTGGTAACTTTGTGAAGATTTGTTTTGTTTTTTTATTCACGCGAACGACGACAGAACGCTCGATCATTCATTTTTCATTTATTTTATCTATTTCCTTATTATATTTTATATCAAATTTGTTCTATTAAATTTTTGTTTCTTTTTTATCATAAACAACACGTTTGATTACCCAACATTATTTGTTTAACTATAAATTAATTTTCTATCAAATTAAATAAACAAAATGGTAACACTTTCTTATGAACGAAATAAATATTTTTTTTTTTGAAATAAATAAATTTATACTTTTTAATAATTTTTCATTATATAAACGAAAAGAAATATTTTTTTATTTATTATAATTAAATTATAATAATATATAAATTTATTTATTGTAATAATAAAAATATATGAGATACCATAAACTTCAATTGATTATTACTTTTTACTAATTGAACTTGTATCATCATAAATAGTTCTAAATAATAATAACTATATTTAATAATATATTAAATTATGTTATAAGATAAATAAAAATAAATAAAAATAACAATTTATACACAGTTAATTATCTACAAAAAAAATTAAAAAATAAACATATTATACATAATTCATATATATACACGTTATTTGTTATTATCATTTTTTAAAACAATTTTATTTCAATATAATTAAATAATTTTTTACAATGTACCCCCATTTACACGTTTAATTCTTCTTTTATTTAAAATAGTATACTTGATAGGTAATGATAAATATCATACGATTGATTGAATTTACCATAGACTATGATAAATTTTAAGTTACAACATAGTTTGTTAAAGTTTTCTGGAGAAAATCGATATCTATGCATCGATATCTTATGCATGTTTTGTTTTACAGTATTGTATTCGGTTGAAAAGATGATGACGTTGAATGTGATCGTATTCACAATGTTCGCTATTCTCGAGGGAACTGTTCTTGCAATGGAAGAACCATCCTCTTCCTCATCGTCCACTCACAACCAACGTCTCAGTCAAGCGATATCGGATCTGGTTTTCGATGAACCACCAGAGAAAAGGGCATATACCTATGTTTCCGAATATAAAAGGTTGCCAGTTTATAATTTTGGTCTTGGAAAACGATGGGCGGCTGATGCTAACGATGGCAAGGTAATATAACATTGTTTTATTTATTGTTAATATCCTTGAAATTATTTATTTAATTAATTATTATAAATATAGTATAAAATAATAATAAAATAATAATAATAATAATAATAATAATAATAATAATAATAATATAAATAATATTAAATAATAATATAATAATAATAATACAATATAATAAAAATTATATTGTATATACGGAAGGCGACAAAGACAGGTGGACGAGATGGCTCATAACAAACGTACGATCGTGGTCGGAGAGAAGTCACGGGGAAGTAAATTTTTACTTAACTCAGTTTCTCTCTGGCCGCGGATACTTCCGCAGGTACCTGTACCGTATGGGGAAAGTAACGTCCCCGTCGTGCGGGTACTGCGGACATACTCAGGACGACACGGAACACACATTTTTCGTGTGCCCGCGGTGGACAGACGCCAGACGGACGCTACGAACCAGGACAGGAGATCTGACCCCAGACAACATAGTGTTCGCTATGATTCAGGACCAGGAAAAGTGGAATGACGTGACGCGTTATGTGACGAACGTACTTAAACAAAAACGAACGGACGGATGCCTAGAAGGCTGACCAACAAGCTGAGAGGATGATCAGACATGCCGGCCAGCTCGAAGTAATGTGCACAACAGTCCCGGACTGGTTTGGGGACAGCCGAAGTCAAATGACTTCATAAAACATATATAAAATAAAAATTATATTATAAATAATATTAAAAAATAAATAAATAATATTAATAATAACATAATAATAATAATAATAATAATAATAATAATAATAATATATAAAATATATATAATATAATATATATTATAATAATATTTATAATATATTATTATAATTATAAAATTAATAATAAAAATTAATAATATAAATTAATAATAAATAATTTTTTTTGTTAATAAAATATATATATATATAAATTAAAAAGTTTAACAATACTAAAATATTATGTTAATTGTGTTCTAAAAATTAGAAATTACCATAATTAAAATTAAAAATACAAATATTCCTTTTATTTACTGTACATTTTTTTTTTTAATAGTTTTACCTTCCTAAATTATTCAATATTTGTTACTGTGAACAAATTTTATTATATTAATTATATTATAATAATAATTCTTTATATATTCTTTTATTTATTAGCGAGGAAGACCATTCTCATTTGGACTTGGAAAAAGAATAAAACCATACAGTTTTGGTCTTGGTAAACGTAACGACAATCAATTCGAATATCAACCATCAAGAAGAAGTTTGGATTATTTGCCAGTTGAAGCATATGAGAGATATTTATCACGTGACAACGATGATGATCAATTAATGGATTACATACAAGAAAAACGTGGAAATCGTTTGTACAATTTTGGTCTTGGCAAAAGAGATTGGAACGTAGTATCATCGTTAGATGACTCAATGCCAACAGGAAAACGGCCTAACGATGTTGCCGAACAAAGATATATGTTTGGTTTAGGAAAAAGGATGATGGAAGAAGAAGACAATGTTCAATAAGAAAAAAATACAAAAATAAATAAAAAATAATTTAAACTTAAATTTATCTCGAAATCATTACGATGATGATGATGATGATGATGATGATGATGTCGCACGCGAACGTTTTTTTGTTTCTTATTCTATTTCATTAATACCACATCACTATATTTTAATATTTTTCAAATTATTAATTAATTATAAATAAAAATATTATTATATATATGAAAAGGTATAAGAAAAAAGAAAAGAAAAGCAATCATAATTAAAAAAAAGAAGACCATCATTTGATCCTATTTTTTTTTACCATTAATAAAATATTATATAATAAATATATAATTATAATAAATTTGTTTTTTACCATTAACCTTTAAAATCTTATCATCATCGTTCGCGAAAGCGTTTAATTATGGATTTTTGCTTAAATATAATATTTACATACATATGTATATATATATACACATAGGATAGATGTATTTGGTGAATGATCGATGCATTAAAAAAAATATATATATTAATTATTGATACACAAATGAGTTTGATTTTATTTTAATTGCATTATTTTTTCCTAATCAAATCTTATTATTAATTGTAAATAACCTCCTTCTTCTTCTTATTATTATTTTTTTATTCTTCTATTTTTAATTTAATAAAAATGTATGATGTAAGTTAACAATGTAATATTTATTTTATATTATAATATTATTAATAATTATTTTAAAATAAGAAAGATTGTTACCTTTACAATGACAACGTTCATTTGCTAATACTCCTGTCTTATGTGTAATTAAAAAAAAAAATTATTTTCGAATTTGACGATACCTCGATTATCCAATCGAATGAAATAAAACAAAAATCTACAATCCTTACTATTAAACATTATTCAATATGTATATATTATATAAATTTGTTTCTTGTCTTATATTGTTCATTTAAGTATAAATTTTAAATGAAGTATATTAAAAATTATAAAAAACAATAATGAATGAAACACGGGTCGTAAGAATTAATAAAAATTTGTTTAATTCAATAAATATCAAAATGTAAAGTCATTATTAATATTAAAATTAAAAATATTTAATAATTCAATAAATTTTTATTGTTAAATATTTTAATTAAATATTTAAATTAAATAATTTATATTATAATTAAAAATAATTAACTAATTATATTAATTTTATGTTAAAATATATAAAAATTGAATTTTTGAACAAAATGTAAATTAAATTAACAAAACAATTCGTTGTGTGATTTGTTCAATTATACGTAGTGCCAAAATAATGAAATAATAAAAAGAAGGAAAATAAATATTTATGATTGTAATTATATCTCGAGTGTATCAACAACAATAAATCTTATAATCTTCTTTTCGTCATATTTGATTTTATTTTCCATACTATTTTCTATTCAATTGAACAATACCCTTTAAAATTGTTTATATCTTCAAAGTGTTATGATAAATTTTATTTCAAATATTTAAACGAGGTTATTATTTATAATGATGTTTGATCGATTGAAAGGTTTTTCGTTTGAAATAAATAAAATGATAAAATAATCAAGTAGGTGGTGGTAATAATCGATTATCTGTTACGCCCCCTTACGATACATTTAACAAAATTGTTTCAGTTTCTAATTGGTATTGACTCTACTTCAATCATTTCAAACTTTTACCTAACAGAGAAAACTTATTATTATTGATTTTTATACATATTTATGTATACATGTATTAAAATATATTAAAAATGAAATTTTTGACAGTGAATTAGGTACAAGTTTTAATATCAACAATTATGAAGTGTTTAAAGTGTTCGCAAATCATATTTGTTGTTTTTTCGTTAATCAAATTCATATTTGCCATTGAAAAACAATGGATAGTTGATTTTCAATGGGAGACTAAAGAAAATTGGGATCAATTACCAGAAATCGATGGACACGTTATTTTTCCACTTGAAACTAAACACGCTATTGGTTTTTCTAAATCAGCTGATTTGAAATTATCTCAAATCGATTTACCGAAAGATGGTTCCTTGGTTTTATTCAGAAATGGTAAATTAGAGGTAAGATTTTATCTACCAAGATATTTTTTTAAATTATAATTATTATTATTAAAAATAATCATGCTTAAATATAATATTAAGTTAATTGTCTTATGATTTTTCTTTTTTTTTCAACATAAAAGTGAATTTACATATACGTATCGTAAGATAAAACAATTTATAATAAATAATATAAATAAGTTGATTGTTTTTACAAATTAATATCCGAATGAAACATATCTTTAATTTAAATAACAAAATTTACAAAAATATTAATCTAACATTCGAAGAAAAATTCCTACAATTATAGCTCAGCTATTCATCTAAAAATTCGAATGGAAAAATTTCAAAATGGTTGAAAGAGGGTAAATATTTTTGGAGTGATCCTGACAATTGGAAAGGTGGTTCTGAAGCAGCACCACACATGGAACGATTACCTTGTCGTCAAGATGATGTTGTTTTACCAGGAACTGATGAAACATTTAATATTCATTTACCATCAAACGAAATACAAGTTGAATCTGTCAGATTGTCTAATCACGAGTATCCAAGTACATGGTGGGATTGGGATGAGATGCAAAGAAGAAAAGAATTTTTAGGTGGTTTTCTTAGTGTTAAGTAAGTTTTGTTTCTTTAAAAAAAAATTAAAATTATAAGAGAATAGCAGTTTATCGAATAAACTATCTTTAAAGGTACAGTCAATATGGTTGTAGTAATTGTCGTTGTCAAGATGGTTTACCCTATGATTATTTAAAAGAAATATGTGCTATACAAGGACCTAAATGTGGTTTTGCAGCTTGCGAATATCCATTACAAGTATGTAAAATTTATTAGGATAAAATTTAACATAAAATTTAATGTAATTTTATATACAATTATTTTAATTAATTATTAATAATAATTTATTAAACTTTTTTTTAAATTATATTATTTACTAATATTAATATAATTATATTATATTATTTATATTAATATAATTATTTACAAAATTTATTAAAATTATTAATTATAATTAATTAGCCTAATTTATTTCAATACAGTTAATTTCAAAACTTGTTTAAAACTATACCACCTTCGTTTATGTTCCTTGTTCTAATAATATTCAATATTCAAATTTACTAAATGATTTATTAAACCTACATAAATTTTGTAGATTGAAGGACATTGTTGCCTTTATTGTGGTGGTCGAATAATTATACCAAAAAAAGCTTCATTAGCAATAATCCGTTCTTTAGTAGACGAAGTTTTCGAACAACGTGCAACAAGTATTGCTTGGCACGTTAGAAGAACATGGACGGGTAATATCGAAGTTCTTATCAAAGAGAAGTCTGAGTATACAGGTGCCAATACACTAATAGCACTAGAAGACCTACTGACAAAACTTCATGGTAAATTATTAGATTTTACCTCACATTATAATTATTTACCATTTAATTTAAATCAATGAATTTTAAATACACTTTGTTTCTTAAACAACCTTACATTTAAGAATAAAAATAATAATGATAATAATAATATATTTTATTAATGTAAAATTATTTATTTTTACAAAAAAAAAATAAATTAGAAGAAAATATAGAAATATCGTATACAGAAAATACCGGTGCACCATTAAAAGATTCACGATTGGCTGTAATGCTCGGACCTTTGTTCGGTGCACCAATGATCATCCTTGTACTATTAATCATTGGCTTTTGGTACTTCGATTACTCTATAAGATAGTAAGTAAAAATGACTGTAACTTTATTAACATTAATTTGATAATAATTAACATAAATATTCATCATGTTAAAAAATGTTGAACTTAAAATCGAATTAGTTTTGAGAAAAGAAAACTTTCAATTAATTTAACGAACTATCAAAGAAACTTCGTCTGTTTAATATTTCCCGTTTATGGAAAGATTCAATATGGCGTCAGAACAAAATCCAATAATATCTTTCGTATAAACAAAAAAAAGAAAAAATAGGGAGAAGGAAATGAGAAAGTACACGAAGAAGATAAAAGAAAATTAAAGATACGAATAGAAAAAAAAAAAGAGAAGAGATAAATGTCGAGTATTTTAATTAGCAAAGTACCGGAAGTGGAAAGAAGCGTATAGAGAAGTAGATTACAATCTCATTTACTTTATCTTTCTCTTTTCCTTCTAGCAGAGAGAGAGAGAGAGAGAGAGAGAGAGAGAGAGAGAGGAGTTAATTTCTTCATTACTATATTTTCTCATTCTCAGCTTTCTCTCTTTTATTATTTGCTTCTCACTCTCACTCTCACTCTCACTCTCTCTCTCTCTCTCTCTCTTTTCTACAAGCAAACAGAGACGAAGCTTGTAACATTTAATTAGCTCAATAGTTAGAATCCGAGCTTTATTTCCCCATCGACAAATTTCAAATAATTTTAGATAAATCTTGCTAATTTGTCACCTGGAAAAAGAGAAATTCTCTTCAAATTTTCCAAGTTAAATATTAATCAAACTTAATAAAACAGAAAAAGATTCATTGTCTCTCATTAATTTTTTAAAACATTGTTAATTACGAATACGAATATGTTTAAAAATAATTGATGCTCGTTATTTTTATTATAATTGGATAACTTTTTTTTTTAATTTTAACTATACCATATATTATTTATTAATTTAAATTATTATGCAAATTTTATTTAATAATTTGAATTATTTTGCAAATTTTACTGTATTTAATAATTTGAATTATTTTGCAAATTTTATTTATTAATTTAAATTATCTTACAAATTTTATTGTATTTAATAATTTGAATTATTTTGCAAATAATTTTATCTGAAAAATTAAGAAAAAACTTTACTAAACATACATGTATTATTTTTTAATATTTCAATAATATTATTTAATTGTATTGTTAATTTATTAAAAAAAAAAAATAAAATAAAAAATCTAATTTATTTTTTTAGCGTATTGTCAGAATTATCGGAAGCATGGTCATCTGTTAAAGATAAATCGAATAAACCGTTCAGTTTTGCACGTTTCGAGAATGTCCTTGAAGGTAATGTGAGAATCGATGATTCTCAAACAAGAAGACGAGAACATGAGATGAACGAAGAACTCATTAATGGTGAAGAGGTGTTGTTGGATGAAGAGGATGGTGGTGGCCCTTCTACTGGTGGAAACTTTGAAAATCCACTTTACAGATCAAAAAGGGACAAGAACTTCAGAATAGAGGAAAGAGAACTCATCAACGTTCATCTACCATTAAGCCTGACAAGTTTGAAAAACAGAGTGAAAGATAATACTGATGAGGATGATGATGATGTTATCCAGATGGATATCGAATAATAAATTTTTAAAGTTGTTGTTTTTTAATATTAATTTAGATCAATTAATAAACGAGTATCATTGTACCTGTTATAATTGTACAGTACTTTTTTTTTTCATTGTAAAAATAAAAAGATTGTGAACTAATATGACGTACTTGATATAGTGATTTAATTGATAATCCTATTTATTTTTAACTAACGAAATAAATATCTTATTTAATTGAAATAGAAAAAAAGAAATTGATTGTCAATGGTTATATAGAAAAAAAATATTATTAAAATATATTATATATATATATATATATATATAATATAATATAATTTAATATAATATAATATAATAATATAATGAAATATAATAAAATATAATTAATATATTTAATTATTATATTTATTATTATATTTTTATTTTATTATTATTATTTAATTTTATTTTTATTTATATTATATATATATATAATTTATATTTTAAATGATCATTTTCTAAATAATTTTATATTAATTAACGTATTGGAATTGGGAAAAATGATTTCATTGGATTTGAATATGACAACCATAATTCGTATTATCGTGTTTTAACACACTCGTTTATTTTTTATTGTCAAACAACATCCATTTTGAAGTTGACGAACGGGGCCGGCACGTGCTAACTCGGTCACGTGGCAAAAATAATATATCATATTAGGCGCGTTTAAGCTCTTACATATAAATATATATATATGTAATATAATAGGCTTAACGCAAAATTGAAGAGACGAATAATATAACCTATCTACATGTTGTTATTCGTACTTAGGAAATTCCTGATAAATATACACACTCGCATGTACACACACACACATACACCCTACACACATTAAACATACGCATAGAGTACTTAAATAGTACTCATTGGACTCACATAATTCTTTTATCCTCTTTATTTTGGCTTGATAATCGCGAGCCAATTAGAAGAATGACTATAAGTCAAAATATTGTAAAATCTTATTTGAAAAATAATGATTAATAACAAACTGTAATACGAGTTTTTTACTTTCTTTCTCTTCGTTATATATATATACATAATCTTTTCTATATATAGAAATATCATCTGTATAATTATTATAATATATATATATATATAAAGCTTTATCATAGAATATATTAAACTTTTTTCTTCTTTTTTAAATCGATAAAACTTCTTTCTTCTATGTCAGACTCATTCTATAAAGAAATTTCATTTTGTATCATTTCATTTCATTTTTTTTATCTTACTACACTGTCAAATATATTTATATATAATTAACGATTTATAAATGATCTTGTTTCACTTTTACGTAACACACGTCATTGATCAATCATATTGACTCTCTCTCTCTCTTTTTCTCTTACATTGACTTTACTTTTAACCAATTCTAAATAATGCAATAAATTATGGAAATATCTTTTGTATATAAAGTGATAAAAATGCTTCTCACTCGTGTATATAAGAATAATTATTATGAAGATTTGAAATCTTATCGAAAAAATGCGAGATATCGATGCCAAGAAAATAAAAAATAAAATCAAAATTTGTAACAACAATTTTTTAACAGAAATATAAAAATTCGTCGTATCATCTTATTGAATTTCAAATATCTTATTGAATGTAATTATTTTGTTGTTTTATTTTAATTGATTTTTTTAAGTAAGAGAGAGAACACGTTAAAAAGAAATATTATTTTTTTTATACCATCTATTCTTGCTATATCATTTGGCAGTATCGAAGAACGGAAATAAAGGGAATTAGAAAAAAAAACTGTTAAAAGAAAGGATTTCCGCTTCGATTGGTCCCCTATACACGATAATTAGATAATGACAATGAATTTCTACACCCTTTCTATCTTTCTTTCTTTTCTCGCTTTCTTTCCTTCTTTCTTTCTGTCACTTAATTTTTTCTTACTTAATAATAACAATAGATAAAATTCCATTTGACAATTATGAATACGCACATTGGTAACAAAATTGTAATAGAAATCACGTTGTATCGATACCATACAATCATAATTTACACAATCACACACAACGATTTCAATAATCAATACTTATAATTACGCATACATACGTGTAATTGTTTTGTTGTTGTTGACTTATCATACACCTTATAATTATATTTCTTAAAATAAAAAATAAGATAAGACTCGCAACTAATCGACAATTTGTTTTTCCTAAAGTTGGCTTATGATTTTGAGGTCAGTTTTTTTTTTTTGTTAATATTGTTATATCATAAATACATTGTGATTTTAGTCTTGAAATTACTTTTTGTTTTTTTTTTGTTTTTTCTTTCTTTTTTTTCAAGTTTTTACGAACTACGAATAATAATTAATTTATCTTCACGTACATGAAAATGATCATTTTTTAAGGCGATTAAAATTCGTTTGTAAACACTTCGTATAAAATCTCACCGCGTGTGTGTGCATTGATACAATAAAATTTATCATATCTTTTATTTTCACATATAAATATTTGTTAATTTCAATTGAATATATATATAAACTCTTAAAAATTAGTTTTATAACTCGATTGTAGTACATTTTAAACATATATGATATATAAATTCTTTCACGAATTTAAATATACGTATATTTGTATATATATTTTCATAAAGTCTTTTTGGAATGATTCATTTGTTTTGTTTTTTAATAGCAATTGCACGAAACACTTAAATAAGAACGAACGATATTTAGATATATATATATTTTTTAATTTATCTTATTTTTGTATTACGTCGTATTTTAGATAAATGATCTTTGTATTGTAAAAAAAAAAAATTATATGGAAAATATATGTCGGTCATTTCAATCAATCATTTTGTTACTTTCCTTCTTCTTCGTTTTTTTCTCTCAATTATTTAATCTTCTCTTTTCGTCTATTATATTTTTTTTTATTAATTATAATTTTTATGTTTATTCGTTCTATTCATTCTCGTTTTTTTTTCTCCATATTTTTTACGTTTGTTTATTTGTTTGTTTATCTTTGTAAATATACATATTTCTCACACATATATATACTTTCGCAAGTGCCAAGTGATTGTAAATTATACACAAAAGTGCAGTGCTAGTAATAGTTTCGTTTAAAATATAATCATAAATATATTTGGACGAATTTTTTTTTTAATAATTCTCATCACAAAATATAATTTTGTTAATTGTATTTCGATGTCGATATTTCAATTAAAAAATATTTCCTTTTCTTTTTTTCTATTATAGAATTATTTTCTTTTTTATTTTGATCTCGTTAGAAAACCACTTAACGTAATAATTAACAAATGATTTACTACGAATAGATGAATTCAGAAAAGAAAATTTTTTTTTTTTTCTTAAAAATATAAATTGTACTAAAATATACGATATTTGTATCTCTTTCATTATCTATGTTTCATCTTTTTCGTCCTCTGGTTGAATTTGATTATAATAATGAAAAAAAAACCCATCTAAATAAAAATACGAAGGCACTGCTGGTTAAATCACGTATTTTGTATTTATTTCGAAGATTATTAGAACATGATAATAGTAATCTATAAAATATTCATTTTATGTGATTTCATTTAACTTCTTGATAATCTTTAGGAAGACAATGAAACTCAAGGAACTCGAAACAACAATTTAACATATGATAAATTGTTGCATCTATATTTACGATTTATGTACGATATGAAATCGTCAGCCACATTTTATTCGCAATTCTTAAAACGGGAAGACTTTTGCGAATCTAATGAAACAAAAATTGCACTAGTCCCAGAAATTCAATTTTTAAATCATAAACGACAAAATTATTTCATCGAAAAACAATAAAAACAAATACAAATCAACAAGTACAATGGATGACTATTATTCGGTTTTGAAAAATTTGTTTTTCTAAATTTCAACCTCTTGTTAAAAATTATTAATTAAATAATGTTTTAATTTATAAACTTTTATTATTTTTTGTTTTGTTTTGTTTTGTTTTGTTTTGTTTTCTTATTGATATTTCAATATGCAAATGTGAATATTAATTATTTGAGACGTTATTAAAATATTATTAAAAGTTAGAGGATCATTTTCTTGAAAAAAAAAAAAATACAAAAAAGAAGTGCAACATTTTTCCCAATCGATGATTAACAAAAAGAAAAAAAAGTTTTAGCAAAGTGTTGTTTTTGTTGAAAGAAGACGACCAAAAAAAAATAAGCTAAGATGATTGGCGTTCTAAAAGTGCTTGCACGCGTGCCAATTCTTTTAACAATTCACGATTCGTGTCTTCAAGTATTGTTAAACGGTCCCTGTACGAAGAATTTTCATTTGTCAATATGGTAACTCGCCTTTCTAGGCCATCCATGTATTCTTTTTTCTTTCTTCGTGATTCTTGTGCTGATATCTAAAAAGATAACAAAAAATAATAATTTTATTGTTAGATATACGTATACTAAAAGTAAAAAATGAAAATCTTTGCGATCCGAATGACTCAAATTATTGTTTTGCAATTTATTTTTAACTAAAATGTGAATAATTTTAATATAACTACAAATAATTATATTTAATTATTTATTAAATATAAAAATATTTAACTCTAATATAATAACATATTTATATATATATATATATATACAATTTAATACAAAAAAAATTTATTAAAAATTAAATATAACGTTTAATGAAATAATTATTCATATATAGGATTGCAAAGACTTAATAAATTTGTTTCTATAAAATTATTAATTTAATACCTTATTTTTGATTTTTCTGCGTACTTTTTTCAAAGATTTTTCTTCCTGTTTTGTTAAAGGTAATTTAGTAGGTACAGGATAACCCTCAGCAATCAGAGTTCTTTTTTCTTCTTCCGTTAACGTCAAAACACCAGTTGAACCTTTCTGCAATATCATTATCATTATCAACATTTCATTTCATTTTATCTTTCATTTGTATATCGATCGAAATTTAATTAAAACGACAAAGTTTATTTACCGGTTGACAGGAAATTAAAGGTGTGTGAATAGGTTGTCTTGTAGTATGTGTTGGATTGGTAACATATAATCTAGGTGTTAAAAGACCTCTAATATTTTGAGAATGTGTTGAATGCTGTGAATCTCGACGTTCAGGTGAACAGGAAGCTGACGCTGTTCCTTCGCTATCAGAACTTGCACTGCTAGGTGGTGTTGGTGGTAAACTTTGTCTAGATGTGTGACTTCCTTCATATTCTTCACTTGGTACACCGTATTCTTCTACCTCCATACTCTGATAAAAAATTATAAAGATTTAATAAATCAATCATTTAATAAAAATGAAATTAATAAAATACTATAATCAGATGTATAAAAAATAGAGATATAATAAATCAATCACATTATATAAATACAATTAATAAAATACTATAATCAAATATTAAGTATATATATTTTAGACAAGAATTGAAATAATTTATTTAATAGATGTCCTGTAAGATATTGATATTTAGGTAATTAAATAAAATCTATATATAAAATGTAAAGTAATATATTATAATATTAATATATAGATATTTAAGATTATAATGTTTTAATTTTAGCATTTATGGAATTCTAAAGTAATTATTTTATTACTCCTGCACAGTGATGACTTAATATGTTAAATTGTCCTGTAATGTAAGTAGAGTGTGTTAGAATATTTAAATAATTATTAATTAATAGATAGGAATATGCATTGATGTTAAAAAGCACGAAATATATGTCAGGAGTACCGTCCTCATCAAAATTCACCTTCAGACTGACACGTTGTAATCTATGAAACTGCATTTATTCAATGTTGTTTATATGACTTTCATAACGTTGCGCATGTGCATGACTGAAATAATTCACCTAATTAATAGAATTTAAGATTGTAATGTTCTTATTTTAACATTTTTTGCATTCTAATGTAATTATTTGACCTCTCCTATTCAGTGATAACTTCGAGGGTGAAATTGTGCTGGAATATAAAAAGTGCATTAGAGTATCATAATAATTGTTAATTAATCGATGGGAATATGCATTGATGTTAAAAAGAGCTATGTATTTGTTCGGTGCACCATCTTCCTCGAAATTCACCTTCAGACTGGCAAGTAGTCATCTATGAAACTGCATTTATTCAATGTTGTTTATATGACTTTCAGAACATTGTGCATGTGCATAACTGAAATAATTCACAATTTATAATTAATAGAATTTAAGACTATAACAATGTAATTTTAATATTTGTTTTATTCTAATGCAATTATTTCAACATTCCTGCGCAGATCATGTAAGAATCATGTAAAAAACATTACAGTACCCAACTCATTTTTTTGGAAAATCGATTTAAGCCACTTCCAAAATAAACAATTCATTTATATAAAATAAATATAAATATTAATAATATATACCTGATAATATTCTTCATCGTCTTCCTCGCTGTCGCTCGTAGGTGCCAGTTGCTTTCTAGAAAAGTGCAGATTTTGTGGTGACACCATTGTTATCGTACTTTTATCGTCAATGGTTGTGCTCGAAGAAGGACAAGGTGTACAAGGACTACCAGGTGCGCTTAACGGTTCCCCTTTGATTTCAGAATAATCGTTATCTTCAGTTTTGATATCAGGTTTCTTCAAAATTACCGTTGAGGTATAAGTTGTTTGAAGTGGTAACGGCATCGTTTGATCCTCGTTTCGAGATGAGTTCATTGAAATTGCTAAAAAGCATTCATCCTCCATATCTGTAATTAAAACAATTACTATTACATTTTATATAATTAATTAATTACAAAAATAAAATACAATTTACAATATATAAATATGTATGCGTTAATTAATTCTATAAATGTTATTTTTTTATATATTATTTTTTACTTTACAAAATACAGTTTAATAGAATGTTTTTCAAACATTTTTTATAATTATCATAATTATAAAATAATATTTTAATTTGAAATTATTCAAATAAAAAATAATCCAATAAATATTTTTGTAACAATTATAATAAAATATTTGAAATATTTGTTTAATTTTCTTTTAATTCTTACCATCGAATCTAGGTCTAATATCCAATGATTTGCCATGATCCAAATTATTCGAATCAATCGAAGAAATGGTGTTAACTGCCAACGTATCAGCAGTACTAGTTGAAGGTACTGAACTTTTAGGTGTACAAGGATTAGTTCCAGGTGTTGCTGGACTAGGTGGTGGACTGGAAGTTAATAAACTGTAACTGTGTTCGGATTTGATTGGACGTGGTCCACCCAATGCTGCATCCGTCATAAGACGATCTCTAAGTACGACACTTAAGGATGATTTATCCCTAAGGCACAAAACATTACCCCATTCCTCTTCTCTTGACGTCATTGATACGTCTTGTCCGAGAACCTGGAATGAGAAAAATATTAAAAACATATTAAAAAAAAAAAAAATGTTTCGTTAGAATGAGTTTTGAATAATTGAAAAGCTACAAACGTGTTTAACAACTCACTTGTGATGTATAGTTTATATATATATATATATATGTATACTATAATTGAACAACGTGACCAATTGTACGACATGCATAACACACATACATACACAGAAACATCAGTTTTATCAAGCTATTTTATATAGGAAATTCTCTGATAACGTTTATCAATTGATATTTCATGTACTTTTCCAAACTCCCGCCCGTCAAATTTCAATTATTTTTTTAATTAAAAAATTCTTTGTTATTTATTTACTTTGTTTTATACTAAATGACATTTCGGAAATAATAAACAAAATATTACTGGATTATTTTATGTAATTCATTTGACGTCTTTTTTATGAATGTTAATTAATTAATTTAAGTTAATAAACGGGGATTATTTCTATTTTTTTTTTTTTTTAATTAATTTAAGGTAGTTTTTATTTCGATATAAAATTTTATAGATACGTGAAATAAAAATAAAAATGAGAACAGGTTTTTTTTATTTTTAAGTTGTTATCTCTTTTTTGAAAGAGATAGAATCTTTGAAATCGATAAAAAATAAAAATAAGAAGAACATTATATAAACGTTATTTTAAAGACATTGATATTAATTAAATACGTATTGTTACTATACCCAGAATTTCTGGAAACGCATTGTTAAAAAAATAACACATTCGATAAAATTCATTGTATATTATTTTGACTATACGCCCCGTTAAACTGTGTGATATTTTTAGTAACACACACACAAAAAAACAAACATTTTAGGTGAACTTTATAAAAATTTTTGTATAGCATACATTAATTATGCTTCTTATTATAAATAAAAGAATAAATAAATGTGTCTATGTTTCTTTGATCGATATATAAAAATATTATATATACAAAAAAAATGTATATTATACATAATATATAAATTAAACCTTTATTACTTATTACCACATAATATAGTAACATTAATATTACTATATTATTAATATAATATTACTATATTATTTATATAAATATATAAAAATAATGTATATATAATAACATATAAAATATTAAAAAATATTATAATTATAAAATATTATAAATTAATAAAAATAATATTATCTATAAATATTACTATAATATTACTATTATTAATATTACTATATTATTATAAGTTTGTTATTATAATACTTTAATCGAAAAATAATAAAAAACAAATCTTTAAAAACAATTTATTCTTTCTTTTTTAATTCCTAAAAAATAATCAATGATTCAATAACTAAATGTAATCATCAATTATAAAAAAAAGAAAAAACAAAACCACTAAAGAGAAAGAAACGATGAAGACAGTTGTTCCACTTTGAGGTCAGTAAACTACCAAAATGCGGAACGATTGCTATCCCACGTAGCCTCTTCTTTCCCACCACCACTTTTCCTTCTGTTTCTCGATAAATTTATCCATGAAGTTGTTTTAAAATTGAGAAATAGAAATAATCGGAAAATCGTAGAGTGAAAAACATCGCAGAACTTTCAATTTCCTAAATGCAATTTTGCTTTACAAAATTGTTTCTGTACAAAAAGCAAAAATGATTAACCCTAATGATAACTGAGGAAAATGTGGGGGTGGGGGGAAGGTATAATGAAGGTGATTACTGAAAAGAAGATGTCAAAGACCTGAAGATGATAATAGATGACCTGTTTTACACACATCCACAAGAAAAGGAAGGACGTTTGTTGGCAGACGAGACACAACTATGATGGACTAGTCAAGTTGAAGGTCAGATAATAATAAAAAAAAGCGAACATACGGTAAATACTTTCAATGTATTTTACAAGTGAAAATATGCACGATACCATTTTCGTATTACTGTTTATTTTTTGTATTTATTTTTTTTCTTCTCTTTAGGATGAAAAGCTAACTTGAAAAATGTTGTTGAAAGAAGGGGGAAGAAGGGGAACTCAACCACCACGAGTTAGCAATGCGGAACTCGACTACCTGCCAAGGTCAAACCTTCTCCCATTCCATGATGTTTTTTTTTACTCTTTCTCTCTCCCTCTCTCTCTCTCTCTCTCTCTCTCTTGTGAAACATTTTACGATTTCTTTTTTAGGATAAGCATTTTGTGTTGAAATGGGCCCGTTTTTTTTATAGTCTTTCTTTTTTCGTATTTTTAAGAAAAAGAACTTGTTTAAAATTTTATTATAATAATAATATCTTTCATTATAATAGTATTTTATATTAATAATGTATAATATAGATTTATATACAAAAATTATCATAATTATTTTGGAAAAAGAAAATATTTTTTAAAACGTTCATTTTTACGAGACATTTTGAAATTCATTAGTATTTCTGAACTTTAAAATTTGAAAATATAAAAAGAAAATAAAACGGAGTTGTTTGTTTCGTGAGTAATGTTAATCGATATTAATTATTTCTTGGTAAAGTTATAACCACGCAATATAATAACTAGCAATAATATTTAGTACAATGTCATAGCATAATAATTATATGAAATAATACTTAATAAGTAGGAATATTATATTATAATAATATTTAATTATTATAATAATAATATTTTATAAATATTATATTATATTATAATAGTATATTTTATATAGAATAATATATATAATAATAAAATAAAATAATAATATATATATAGAATAGTATATTATAATAATACCTAATAATAAATTTATACTAAATAAATATGAATATTATGGGTGCTATATATAACAATACTTGATTATTATAATAGTAATATTATATAAATAGTACATTATATAGAATAGTATATTATACAAAATAATATATTATATATAAGAGTGTGTATATAGAATACTATATTATATTAATACTTAATAATAAATTCATACTTAATAAGTATAAATATTATATTATAAATAAAATAATTTTTGTGTAAAAAGCTCACAAAGTTAACACGTAAGCTTTTTATTTACCGTTGACTTCATTTTTATTTATTTTTTATTTCTTTTTCATTTTATTTTTATTTTTTATTCTCATGCTCAGCCGGTTGTTTCGATTTCGTTACGGATCGTGGGATCGAACCTGCTGTTTCGAACCTAGAGATAAAAGTAAAAAAAAAAAGAAAATAATCGGTGTCACTGATCTCAAAACCAGAAGAGAAGACCTTTTATTGGTTGGTTCAAGCAAACGAAGGAAAAATAAGGTAGGAACGAATGAACATGAGAAACTCATGTAAGGAGTTGTGCTGCTGCACTTGCGAACAATGCGGAAGTCGGCCAAATGCCAAGGTCACTGTTCAATTTCTTCGGGAGTTTTTTATTTTTCTATTCGACTTCTTTTTCTTTTTTTTCAATATCATTTATAAGATTTTTACAATTAATTTATCTTTCAAAATTGTTCGATAAATAAATTTCAATTTCTTTATTAATGTTATTTATTATTATAGTTTTTTTAAAAAAATTTTTATATTTTATTTTATATTTATTTTTGTATTATTATAGTTTAATTATATAATTATATATATAAAGTTTTATTTTAATTGTAAGTTACTTTAATTTTATTTTATTTCATTGCTTCACTGTTTTATTATTACCCATTGTTCAACGTTTTAATAAAAAAAGAGAATTTAGTATAGTTATAATGAATTATTTGTATATTTTATTATGTGAGTATTTTATTCCTTTTTTTTTCGGTTCTTAGTTACTTCATCTGAATGGACTTATCTTTCATCTACATTTCCGGCGGAAACTACATGCGAATGATATATCTGGTTTTACTTTCTCAAATTTAACACATTACCACCAATCAACACTTTTTAATTTTATAATGATATTAAATTTTAATATTAAAATATATTAAATTATATCTTTATTAATTGATACATAAAGTTAAATAAATAAATTGTTTAAATTATAGCAATGTATAATATAAATTTAATAAAAAAGTATTATACATGTACTTGTACGAAATAAAACGAACCAAAAAAAAAAAAAGGAAAGAATATAAATAACGATTATGAAAATACTGTATATATAGTGTGAACAAATTTGAACAAATTTGGCCAACATTAAATCTAACGCTACACGTGTAATCGTATAACATTTTCCAGATTATACACCAAGCACATCTTCAAATAGTAATCCTAGAAGTAGATGTTTACATTGTTACAAAAATAATATTCGGTAAGTATCAAGATATTGGTGTTCCACTTGCAAAACGTCATTATGCATTACACCTTCCTTTACTTAATATCATTTAACAACAACAGATTAAATTTCTAACTAATCGTTTTTCTAAGTAATTGATTTTTAAAAAGTGAAAGTTTTTTATTTTTTCATAAGACACAGCATAATTAATATACATAAGTTATAAATTAATAAAATAAATGTTGGTTATAATAAAATTGTTAATTTGATATACCTATTTGTATAAAAAAGAAGACAATCATTTGATTATACAATTTAATTTTATATTGCAATAATTACACGTATTGTGTATGTATTTAATTAGTATACTTGTAATCGATTCCTTTTTTTGCAATATAATTTTAAAAAACATACTTTTTAAAGAGGTCACTACGGATAATTGGTTAATTAATTATTTGTACGATAAGAAATAATAGGATAATTAATTACAAAAAAAGAGATGATCTTTAGGAATACCCAACAATAATCTATATAAATATCTATATATATATAATATTTAAAAAATAATTAAATATATAATATTATAAAAATTATTAAATATTATATGTATATATAATATATATTTATATTTTATTATATTATATATAAAATTATATATTTAAAATATAAAATTATATATACACATACAATTATAATATATATAATGTTAATATTTATATATGTAAAATAATTGCAATATTTAATTATATAATATTAGTTAATTATATATTAATTATATACGTATATAATTATCATATACAAATAGAGGAAACACTCGATAAT